ATGTAAAGAAAATATTTTCTATCTCTATAATATGATAAGAAAGTGTAAGGTGTGATAACACAAAAAAACATGTTAATAAAAAACAAATCATTGTTAAAAATTATTTATTATGTAAACTACTCTCTTTGTAAATATTAAATAATACTAAAGATTATAATAATAATAAACTTAATCTGTTGTTTCTTTGTTTTACAGGTAATGCTATAATACTAATTTAAATAAAATTTGTTATTAATAAATAACTTTGTTTTACAGAGAAACCAGTGGTTATTATTATTATTAGATAATATTATTGTTAAAGATAATAACCCCATTATAAAACAACAGAATTTGTTTATAATGTCCAAATTTCAATTTGAATTTATGGTGGTTACTTCACCTAAAGATCCTAAAACAAATGTAATAGCCTTAACCTCGATTTGTACAGAGGATGGTAAAAAATATATATTGCCAGATGAATTTAGATACATGGGAGATCATGTAGAATTGAGAAAAACAAACAACTATACAAAATTAGTCAATTCTTTAAAGAAAAGAAACCAAATAAGAAAAGTGTGGATTACGATGACAAAGGAATTAAAGGAGACATACATTGACGAAGATGGAAATTTACAGTTTAAAGACCAATATTTAGAAGAAATAGATGAAGAGAACACAAACTTAACACAAGATCATAATCTAAAAGAAATATTAGAAAAACTCATAGAAACGACAAAATATAAAGATAAAGAAAAAAATTTAAAACAAATATCAGAAAAACTTTTAATAGAAAAATTTTCAAGCAAAACTTCTAATTCTACACAATGGATGGAAAGCTTTGAAAAAGAGTGCTCTAGATTTGAAATTGACAAAAATGAAGATAAAATTGAATTATTAAAATTATTTTTGGATAAACCAAGTTTAAATTGGTACTCTTCTACACTCATAAGACTAACAGTAAATGCAGGTTGGTCAGAATGGAAAAATAGATTTTTAGCATGCTCCACAAAATAATCAAGAGCTAATAAAAATTCTCATAAGAATTTTCACAGTGGGAGGGGGAGATGTAAAGAAAATATTTTCTATCTCTATAATATGATAAGAAAGTGTAAGGTGTGATAACACAAAAAAACATGTTAATAAAAAACAAATCATTGTTAAAAATTATTTATTATGTAAACTACTCTCTTTGTAAATATTAAATAATACTAAAGATTATAATAATAATAAACTTAATCTGTTGTTTCTTTGTTTTACAGGTAATGCTATAATACTAATTTAAATAAAATTTGTTATTAATAAATAACTTTGTTTTACAGAGAAACCAGTGGTTATTATTATTATTAGATAATATTATTGTTAAAGATAATAACCCCATTATATATATATATGGGTGGTCCTTAGTTATAGAAGAAAAATTTTTTTTTAAGAAATTCAGAGTCATGGGAAACGAGGGAATTTTTTTCAATTTTTGAGGGTAATGTCTAAGATTAGAAACGATTTGTGATTTTTTGACGTATCGTTGAAAGAAATCGGTTCAGTGAGAGCTGAGAAAAAGTGATAACAGACACATAAAAAAAACCCATAGTAAAACCATACTTTCTTAGCTTTGCATGGAAGCTAAAATTACAGTTTTTATTAGCAGTACTTTGATTTTTTATGTAAATTTAAATAATTTAATATTCAATCTGAATATATTGTTTAAAATAAGTAACTGTGATAATAAGTATAAATACATAATCTTGGGTTATCATAATAACTATTAGATTATAAACGTTAATAAACTAAATTTTTGTTTATAATAGATATAAATTAAATATTTCTATCAAATACCTTGTTATCGTGTTTGAACAATATGCGCAAATCTTCGTTTGTAAATAATCATACTAAGCTTACCTTCGTTATTTTGACTACTGTGCAGCAGCGGATCCAGAGGAGGGGCGCAGGGGGCGCGCGCCCCTCCTCAGCTACTGGCTTACTGATTAAATAAAAATACCTTTAATTAGGACTTGATATCAAAAATCTAAAAATAATAAGTGCATGCGAATTGTGTAGGAACAGCCATTGTTTTATCAAAATAACATCTGTTGCGTATACAGTCATATGGTGTCTTGTTGTGACCGCCCCATCAATATGTGATTGACCGCTGATAAAAATAATTAAACGAGTTCCACGCGACTCGTTAAAACGAGTCAGTATTATTCTTTTCGCAATTAAAAACGCTCACTCGAGTATCGTTGATACTAAACTGAACGGTATATTATCGTTTCGTTTTTTTTTCTTATTTTGTGCTCTTTTGAAGCATCGCAAAGGTGTATACGCGCATAGTTTCACATACGCCAAAATTCGCCATCGTCGGGACGAGTTAACTTCATTTCCACACTGTGGAACGCCTTCTGTACCAAGTCTCCTATAATTCGCAATCCAGCCGCAAACCATTAACTTCATTAAATTAAATATCATAAACTTAAATGAATCATTTGACGTATCGTTGAAAAAAGTAGGTCTAGTGAGGGTTGACAAAATAAATCGTAGCCACAAAAAGAACCACATAGTAAAATAATATTAAAATGAATATAAATTTCTTCTCATGAGGGGAAATGATAGTGATAAGATCCTTTATATTTATTGAAGTTATTGAATCTAAATGAGATAAATATTTTAAAATTTTATTCTAACTCAAAAAAAAATTCAAAATATTAATTGCAAAGACGGATTTGAACCTCGTACCATAAGCGGGTGTTACCCATTCGGCAACTGTTCGTTGCTTTTGCTGCATGATAAAATTGGCTATTTAAGCTAACTCAAATTTAAAAATTACTTTTTCGACTTTAAAAAAGTAAAAAATTTTTATAAGTTTAATTTCGTATGTCTTATGAACTTTATTCTATGTCAATTAAATTATATAATATTTGTGCAATGCCGGCTATATTTTCTTTAGTATCGGCAATTTGCGATTTTGTAACCTTTTTGTTTGTTTAATAAATACGATTGACCATACGTATTTTTGGGCATGCCTTAGCGGAAGGAAAGGAGAATATAAAATTGTGGAAATTGAGCCTTACAATATACTATAGATAGAAAGAAAAACAACATATATATATATATATTTATAATCACAATCTGATATTTCCGTTATGATAGAAAAATAATAATAAACAACAAGAACCAATGATAAAATGAAATTAGCACAAATTACTAATAAAATAAATAACATATATATCCCCTTTCTTATAACTAATACATATATTATGTGGACTGTATCCGTTAAAATAAACAATAAAAAAAATTCTTAGTAATTACCCACTGCCGTCTGAAGGTGATGAACACTGGAACACATCAGATGCAGGGAAGGCAACAAAAAACACCGTAACATATAACAAGCCGTTGAGCAGCTCAAATTGAACAATGTGGCGACAAGGCAATACTCGACCCAAAAGAAACCTGGTGACGATATTACCGAAACGGCCGACTAATTGAGCGCGAATGAATTCTTCAAGACCACTGCCACACACACAGGGACCGGTCTAAACAGCAGCGCCGCCGTACCGTTACGAAGGTGGTGGTTTTTT